TCTCACTAAATGCAAAGCAGGCAAAATGCAAATGGAACTTTAAAAAATGTAAAAAATGATGTGAGAAGTGGACCAAATACTAACTTGTAAAGATACATGCTTTTGCATTTAAAAGAATAGTTGAGATTATCTCACTTGGTTGTTTCATGAAAAGCTCTCTAGGTACTCTAATCAATACTATTGATGAATTTAGTGGCTTATCTCTTGGATAATATTGTTATCTAATTATAGCTTTATGATTTGTTTGAATTAAATTTGAATACAGTAAGTTAGAAAATTGTTTCTTGTACTTACGTTGAAACTATAACAGATAGCTGTGAATAAATTAGGCTTAAAATTTTTCTTTGTTATTCTTCAGTATGTCACAATCCAAATCAAAATTTGGCTGGTATATAGACTAGGATTTCTAACATATGGTCTTCAGGACCTCTGTTTCTGTTATTTGTCTATTTTGAGCTGCCTGTTTTTTATTCAGGGTTTATCATAGAGCTTTAGTCCACCCTTTTCTAAAGAAATCAGTCCTTTTTTAGAGATTTGTATTTATAATCTCATTGATTCACAATGAGTATTTTAGGAAGAGGGAGACCCATCTACCTCAGCTCAAGTAAGATAGGGCAAAGTAATTGTCAGAGTTGGTTTGCTCTGTTATATGAAAATATCCTTTGCAAATTTATACTATGGATTCTAATCTTAAATATCCACATCTGTGTTATAGTGACCTATCTTCTACTTTAGCCTAGGTGATCAAATAAAGACAAAGTCTTCTCATCCAAATAAAAGCAAAATGCCAAAATAGTACAAACAAGTGAACAAGCCAAACATAATACTATGGTGTCTTGTGAAGCCAAATAATATCTTCTACAAATAAAGACAAACAACCAAAATAGAATAAACAAGCAAACAAAAAAAAATTCCAAATGATTATCTTAACAGCACAAGGACACAGAGAACAATTTCATTTTTTAAAACAACATTAAACTTTTGCTACTTCTACCCTAATGCTTAGATGAGCTGGGTTAACAGAATGTCCAGACATTGTCTCTGACAAAGCTTTGCAAACCCATCTTGATGTACTGTTGAGAGAGATTTCACACATTTTCTAGCCATTAGACTTCTAGAGGCATTTCTGGAGTATATATGGGCATTTGGTGATGGATAGGGTAGTTCATATAGAATTACAGTTATTTTCTTTGAAATTTTCCATACAAATTCTTACTACTTAAAACAAATTCAGTAGCATTAGCTTATTGTATATCATGTTCTAGGCATGGTCTATTCCTCCCTAAATGCTTTTGTTTAGATATGAAAAAAAAAAAAAAAACTGAGGTTCAGAGAGAGTGTTAAACAGTTTAGGCTGCCATCACAAACACCACAGGGTAATACATACCATTGCATGAGGAATACTATGTATCATGTGACTTTAAACAACAGGAACTAATTTTCTAACAATTCTAGGGGCTGCCGAGGCACGGACTGGGGGGCTGACCAATTGAGCATGTGATGAGAACTCTTCCTGCCTTATCAAAGGCCACTCTCTTGCTACACTCTCACACAGTGAAATGGGAGCTCTCTGCTCTATCTTCTTACAAGTGCACCAGCCTTGTCAGGTCAGAGATTTACCCTTATAACTTCCTTTCACCTTAATTATCTCCTTCTAGGCTTTGTTTCCAGTGAAAGTCATATTGGGGATTGGAACTTCAACATATTGGTTTGAGGGGACAAAATTCAGTCCACATCCTTTAAGGCAGCAGAGTCAGAATTTGAATCTAAATTGTAGTTTTACATTGGAATCCTCTTGTTAGCCTCTTACAGCTGCCTAAAATCTTTATGGACGATGAAATAGATAGCTAAGTCTTTGCGAAGCCCTTTCAACCTTTCTTTTCTGCTGAAACCTTTCCTAGATTCTAACCCCACAGGGTTTATCTCATTTGTGCCTAAGAGTGACTCCTACGGAGTAGCACTTCTATCCATGCGTGAACAAAATGCTCCAAATAAGAGGAATGTTCACCTCTTCAGTAATGAAATACTAATTGTTTCTTGTCTTTTGAGGCCGAATCTCACCATGTAATTCACGTGGGCCTCGAACTCACTTTGCAGCCCAGGTTGGCCTCAAACTCATAGTGATGCTCCTTGCTCAGCCTCCCAAGTGCTGGGATTACAGGCAAGTGCCACCATGCCCAGTGAAATATTAATTTTTGAAGATGTGGAATATATATTTTTAAAGAAGTTCTGTCCTTATTTCTCAGATGACCTTTAGGGAAGATTATAGCATTTAGAGATTATGGACTCATAGTACATATATTTCCTACCATTATAATTTTTCTTCCTTGATGTTTCAGAACAGTATTTAAAAATTAATATCATTTAACATATACTGCTCATATGCTTTTTTGTTAACAAACATTTAACTGAAATTTAAATGTAAAATGACTTTTTAAAAGATTACTCTTGCTGGGCGTGGCAATGCACTCTTCTAATCTCAGCACTTGAGAGGCTGAAGCAGGAGAATCTTTTGCAAGTTCGAGCCCAGGCTGGGCTACAAAGCCAGCCTGAACTGCATGTTGAGATACTGTTTCAAAAATACAAAAAAAAAAAAAAAATTACTCTTGCCCTTAAGAAAATTAGAGGAAACCAGACATTAGGGAAGAGAGACTTGTATCCAAGTATAGTATAGTAGGTCTCAAACATAATTGAAAAATATGATCTAAAACTTCAAAGAATGAAACTACATAAGAATTTTGGATTCGTTTTATTTTATTCTGTGGAAAGTGAGGCACACTTGAAGTCTTTTGAGTTGATAGATAGCTTGAACTGATCCATTTTCAGAATCACCTCTAAAAAAAGGGAGATTAAAGGGGAAAAGAGCCCAGGCTATTATAGTTGTCCTAAGGTAAATTTCAAGCAAAAGAGAACCTTAGAATACCTTTGTAAGACAAGTGTTTAATGTTTGGAAACCTCGTTACAAATTAAATATTAGTGTTTCCCTATACTTTATCCCTTTTTATCAGGATGCTACTTAAAATTTTTAATAAATATAGGTCCTGACAATCAGAACAGAAAACTTACCAATAAGAATTGACCAGTTCATAAATACATATTTAACAAGTGTGACCATATTGATCTATATTGGATACACATCAGACCCACCTTTGACTCTTACACTCATGGATCTTATGATTTATTTGAAAGAGTCCATTTATTAATCAAATTCCATGTGTTATATAAGTAATTTTCCAATTTTGTAATGGTTGAATTCTGTGATATATGGCTTAAGATCAGTGTGACACACTGAATTGACACAAGTTTAGTATTCATCAATAAAACTTTATGCCAGGTGGCCTATATGGCATCATATTAGGCAGATTTATAATTTTCACTTGGTATTTTGAAATATTAAAACTATTAGCCTAATTTCTTAAAGTTATTAGGGGAAAGTGGACTGATGTCCTCCATTAATAATATTGATTTAAACTACACTCCCCATAGCCCTGCAATACTCTGGAGCAGTCTCTCTCTGACCCTCTTCCCCTTTCCTATTTTATATACACACATGTATGTACATTTATCTTACATGAGTATCTTTATGTATCCTACTGCTGAAGTCTCTACCACTCCTGTTTATATTACATATTTACATATTACATATTTATGTTACCTACCTGGCCCCTCAGGCATACGTAATTATCATCTCTGATTTAGATCTCTCTTTGTTTTTGGAGCTATCATTTGGCCCATGTCATAATCCAGTTCCAGTAGTATAGATAGTGCTGTGATAGAATTCCAAATATTTCTGAGTTTTTCTCATGGTTTGAGACACTGTTTAAAGGGAAGATTTTACTACTCATATTTGATGAACTCTGCTTGAGGTGACGTCACCTTGACTTTCACATTCCATTTCAGCTGAAAGCCTTTTTATGCATTTTAGATTCTAGTATTGACCTTCCAAATAATTTTTTTAAAAGAAAGTTTGACTTTTTGTGCCAAGTACCACTTCTCTTTTTGACTTTTGTTTTGATTCTTCCTTCTCTTCACTTCCTCTGCTCCTCCCCAAAAGAACTGCTTTCAAAAATACGTGCCTCTGATCTATGTTAAAAAAAAAAAAAAAGCAAAAAAGAAAAGAAAAGAAAGGAAGTTAAAGCACCTGTTGTTTTGAGTAGCCTAAGATGGCGTCCTGGTCCAACTGCATTTCAAGGACCAACTGCGGCATCCTTGCTCCATCTTGATGGGCTTGTTGTCTTCTGGCTGCTCCTGTCCTCCCTCAGGACCACTTCCTGATGCTGGAGCAAAGTGCGGTTTGAGCTACAGCCAAAACTGTGCTGTCAGTGTTGTCTCTCTCTTCTTCCTGCTCTTTATTGTGGTGAAGGATAGTTTAGCAAGGACAAAGAATGCAGCAGAAGACAGGTATTGAATGGCTGCAACCCAAGTGAGAGATAGGATGTCTTTCTGATGAACATTAATGAACTGGGGCATGTTTCAGGGAAAGTACATTAAAAAACTTCATGAGAGAGCATCATGACCAGCACCTGTAATTGTTGCTTATAGCCACAAAAATTGAATGTTGGCACATTCTAGCTTCTGCCTTGCACTGCTAACGTTAAATAAGAACATAGATGGGAAATAAATGGCAGAACTGGGGAAATTATGTTTTTTTCCCTTAAAAAATGGCAGATGGTCGTTGAACATAAATAGCCATGAAACATAAAAGTATATGAGTTCTGGCTGTTTGAGGGAGAAAACAAAATAAATTTAATTTTTTTAATTGTAAAAGATTAGCTTGAGGTTCTTTCAGGAGTTAAAAAAAAACACAGTGAGTAAAGGGAGTGAACTGCAAGATAGCGTTTGTGTAACCAGCACCTCAACCACAGAAGTCACATGGGCCCTTTCTGCTTGCTACTTTTGATCGCCCTTCAGAGGGTTGAACATTTAGCTTCCCCCATTCTGCAAGGCAACTCAGCCATGTGCCAGATGGATTAATCTTTATGCACAATGTCTTTACAAAGGCTTCTGCAGCAGAGCAGCAATGGCAATTTGGTGGACTACTGCACTGGTCCTGCGTATAGTTCTTTCCCCACACTCACAAGCAGTCTCATGATGGATGATAACAGGAGGATTCAAATGCTGGCAGACACAGTGGCTACTTTGCCTCGGGGGCGAAAACAGGTATGGTTGCTATTTTGTATTCATATTCTCTTGAGACCAGAGTGATGCTTGTCTGGCTTCAGGCTAAGAATGTTACTTTAGAGACTTTGGAATTAGTCACTGAGTATGGGACAGGGGGAGGTGAGATGCACTGGAAACTAGTGGACCAGTCTAGAGATTTGACACCTGAATCAAACACACTTTTTACTTTTTAACAAAGCAAAACTTTAAAGATTCGTTTTTCTTACTTAAAGAGGTGTTCAGATAAAATGAAAATTATTTCTCATAACATAAATGCAGATGGTTTATATGTGAAGCACTGTTCTCCCCTGACCCCCTTATTCTCATTGATTCTTGTCCTCACATCTGCCCTCTCTAGCTTTGATGGTCATTTTACTTTACAGTCAAAAGAAAATACTTTTCCTTGAGGGCAAATTTTGTTGACACTAGCAAATACCTCTTGCCCTGGGAACAAGGCTTTTTTCCGATAGGTGTGGGCCAGATAGAGCACTAAGCCACTTACTAGCTGTGGGATCTTGAGCAAGTCATTTATCTTTCTAACATTCAGTTTCCTTTTTCTAAAATGAAGCTAATAATAGAAGCCCTAGTTGGGGTCACATACAGCTTCAGTATGGAAATGCACAGTGTCTAACACAGTGACTGACACATAGTACTCGTTCAGTGAGGGCTACATTATGCTATTTTAAAATTTTACTTAAGGATATTTCTCTGGGGATGAGAACCAATGTAAAAGCGATCTGTATCTAACTGAATTTATTCTGATTTTATTTATTTTTCAATTTCTAATATGCAAATTTAACCATATAATCTGTTTACAGATGCTACTTATATATACTTATCGTTTAATTCTAAGTATATATACTTGTTAAATAATTATTGCTTATATACTTGTTGTATAATTCCAAGTGATGCTTTGACTTTAGATATAGCATATATTTAAAAAATATTTAGAATTTCTGTAAGTGTGAATTTTTGCCCTTAAATTTCAGGTGTATATCAGGTGCTCCTCTGAATCCTTCTAATTTTAAGACTAGAGAGTTATAATCATTTTTCAGTGATGTATATGGCTGATTCATTCATGTTTTTCACAGTTAAAATGAGAACATAATTTGTCATATTTTAGATTATTGATATTTCTGAATCCAAAGTAATGAAAATTTCAACCAGTTTGCAAACTGTATGAAAACAAAGTAATGTAGGAAACACCAATATCTTTACTGTTTTCAGATACAAGGCGATCCATTTTACTTTCTATTTTTCATAAAGCTATCAGACTATATTTGGTAAGTCTGTGATTTCATTTTTTTGGTAAAATAGTTACTGCTCAAGCAATGCTTTAATTTTTGAATTCAGGAGGCAGTATGAATATTATTATACCATATAAAATGATATAAATACTCTCAAGTAACTCAGTCTCTGAGTGTAAATTTGAAGGCTCTTATGTATTCCGGAGTAAGGGAATAATTAATGCTGAGGCTCAGGACCTGTGCTCTGGGGTTATAACAACTCAATAGTGTGTCAGGAAGACCCAGTGCATGTGTAGGAGGAGAGAAGACCACAGAACAGGTTGCTTTGCTTAACACTTGAACAACTTCCCCAGAGAAAGCAGACAGTTGCCTTTGGTATCTACAAGGGATGGGTGCCAGGACCCTCCATGGATAGCAAAAATCCATGAATGATAAATGCTATTATAAAATAGCATAATGTTTACATATAGACTACACGCGTCCTCCTGTATACTTCAAGTCATCTCTAGGCTACATGCAATCCCAAATACAATGTGAATGCTATGTGAATAGTTGCTGAATTTTATTGTTTGGAATAATGACAAGAAAAACATCTGGACATATTACTATAAGTTTCTTATTTTCTTGCTTTTGATTATTTTCAATGTGTGGTTGATTGAATCAACACACGCAGAACCTGTAGGTACAGAGAGCTGACTATAATTTCACCAACACAAAGGCCAGTGAATCTATTTGAGCAGTAGAGGTAGGAACCTTATTTTGAAGAATATGACAGATTAAAGAGTTAATACTAGTGTTGTGCGAGGAAATTTTGCAGTAGTTGGAGAAAGGAAATGAAGCAATGGAAAAGAAACAGAAAGATTTGAATATCAAAGATGGAGGAAGCAAATCTGGTTTTAAGCCTAACTGAAGATGACATGAGTTAAAAAGTAAGTTAGTAGACTGATTATTGAAGGAAGATAGTAAGAAAAATTTAGGCATATGAAATCTGTGTGTGCATGTGTAGTATGTGCAAGCATGTACACAAGAGCTCGTATCTATGAATTTATATTTTTTAGTTCTTTTCTTTCTTGTCTCATATTAATTCAAATGATAAATTTCCCTTCTTCTTACTGATATAAAAATTGCTTTTAAAAAAGCAACACTAAACCCTTTGAACATGATACTTTTGATTCAATACATTCATCATCAATGAAACTTAATTGAAGTTTATCACAACGTTTCAGAATGTTCCATATGGACATTCACTTCCTGTAACTGAATTTTGGAGAACAATCACCCTTTTGGCATAGATTGAATGGCAGGCAATAAGATCCCCATGAGGCAATCCCACAGGCAGGTGCGTCTCTCACTGCTGTTATTTTCAAAACTTTGAGGATTGACGTCAACAATTCATACTTCTCGTTATTGCTGGCTTTTGTTTCTGCAAAGCTATATCTGGTTAGTCTCAGTTTCAGCTTACTCTTTAGAATCAGTTGGGTGTTCACATTCACAATTGTTTAAAAATGGATTTCTGGTGTGAATATTATTTCAGTGACTGCATTTGTAGGAAGTGCTGGACATTTCAGAAGAACTCATTTAAGCATAGTTTTAGGGGAAAAAATTTCTGCGATGGAAAATTTTGTAGGAAAGAGGTAGAAGAAAGGCAGGATTTTTAAACGTAGTGAAGCCAAAAATGTAGTGATTCTGTCTGACTACGCATTTTTATGGGTGGGAGGTTGTTTTTAGAAAGAAGTTTTCATTGACTGCTGGAGTGAGAAGCAGGGACCTGATACACAGGCATGACACTTGACTGTGTACGAATGGTGCCACTATTCTGCTCTCTTTTCCTAATTTTCTTTCTGTTAGAAGTTATGACTGGATAGGCTGTTCCTAGAGGGATGACTTCACATACAATTCTAAGAAGCTGGTGGTAAATTTTGTACCAGGTGCATTTTTGTGTTGGGTCTTGGCCTTCGGGGAGTTTTCATGGCATTTTATCACATCCATCAAGTTCTATAACTAGCAAGGGTGTCCTGTCTAGTTCCGAGGATTTGATCATGTCATGATGGTTTTGGGTAGAAAACTGTGCTCACTTCACTAACTTGAAAAATATTCTTTCAACCATAGAGTCACATGTTTAGAGAAATATCCAACAATTTTTCTTGAAAAAGAGATCCCCAAACCTGTTATTAGTCCTTTCTGGGAAGCAGCAACATTCTGTGTAGGTTCATTAAGGGCTTTTCAATTTTGGAAATTGAGCTTCATTATTCTGTTATATTTTTGAATAGTCTAGGGAGCTTTACTATCCCAGTGCTCCTGACTTCAAGTGGGGCAGGGACTATGTCCACAGATCAATTGGAGAGTGAAGATGACACAGGGGACTGGAAGAGAGAGCACTGAATTTTGAGATTTTTTTGAAACAAGCAGTAAAAACATCCCTTGGTCATCTCCTTTCCCTTCTACCCCCTGCCCTTCTCTGTGAATCAATATCCTCCGCTTATCCCTCCTCTAACTTTTTCTGGAAATGTGTGCACAGAGTGGGGATAAGGAAGTGATAGTCTGCAGTTTAGCAGCAGAGGAGGCTACAGTGTTGAACTTGGAGCTTCTCTGAGGCCAGCTAACTACCTTGCTTTACTACAAATTTCCCTAACTTCTGCAAACTGACGGCTAAAATACTTGGTCTTGGTTTTCCACTAAGAGAGACTTGGGAATCACTGCATAGTAGTGGAAATTATATTTTGAATATTAATGCCCCTTCTTTTAAACCATCTGAGTAAAAACAGAACAGGCGTCATAAGTTCAGCCTCAGCCATCGTTATACTTAGTGGTTATCGAGGAGTTAAGATCTTTGTCTATTCAGCAGTTGTAACTGAATGTGTAGTTTGCAAGTCTGCCAAATTGCAAACCTAGATTTCTCATATTAGATAATGTGTAATAAAAGACAGCTGTTGCCAGCATATGTTGAGAGTTGCACACCAGTTCCTCATTCATGATTTGTGGTGCTAGCATAGAGCTCTGGGTTGTCTGGGGAATATTCATTCCTCTGGTCCCATCTTCATATAGGACTGCTCACCTTAGGGTAAACTTTTTCTGAAACGCAAGACCTTTGAAAAGACCTCACAATACACTTGGTATTAGGCACTGTAGTTTTGTGGGCAAGCTAAGCTGAATCCTGAGAATATTTCTATGTTGCCTCAATCTGACAGCCCCGATCAAAATTAAACAGTATGTGTCAAGTTATGACCCATGTCAGATAATTTGATGGTGCCTAATTTATTTAAATTGCTTGTTAGTTATGTATCAGGTGCCTAAAATAGCTTTGTGGCTAGTGCAGAATGGAAACTAATTTATAATTTGAGCTGGTCTGATGTTTCTGTGTCACTGATAAACTAAATGAATCAGTGAACATCTATACTGTTTCTTATGTTGTTAGGACAGTACTTTCACCTTTAATCAGTTAGGCAGAAAGGTTAGAGGATGGAAGAGGACTCCAATCTGTTTTATGGATCTAAGTACTTTAGATTTGAAAACTTTGTAAATAAAATGACTTTTATTTAGAAGACAGTTTGGAGGAAATCTTGAATCTATCATTTTTGACTGCAGGTTTTGAAAAATGGCATTTAAATTGACGAGACTGGAAATTTTAATAATTTGTTAATTCATGCCACTATTTATTCATTTAGTAATTATGGGTTTATCATTTTACTCTTTGTTTTTTTCTATGTTTTTTGCTGTTTTTGGATATGTTTCCCTATTCTGTTTGTTTCCTTTCATGTTTATATGTTGCTGTATGTTTTTCCTTTTTTGTGATTTTTTTCTCTATTTAACTTATAGAAGAACAAGGTTAAAGGATGTCTTGAATAGTTTGTTGAGTCTCACCATTCACTTACTTCTCTTGTTTTCTAGTAGTTTATTTCTGTCTGCTTCTTTCACACTTTTTATGTTTCCATACTATTCTAGGCCCTGTGCTAGATCTGGGGTAAAATATAAAACAGACATTCCCTAAGAAGCCCAAGGGATAGAGATGATTATCTACAAAAGTAAAGTGTATGTTATTAAATACGCCCTTCATATTAATATACATATATGTATACATATAGAACTTCATATTTATGAATATATGAATAACAGAACAAATGCTGATTATAAGAATAATATCTTAAAAATATAAGCCCAACTCATCATTATATATGACTGAATTCAGTATGGCTGAACTAAGTAATTTACAATTTGAATTAAAGGTGGAAGAAAAGCCAGATGAAAAGAAAGTATGAGCACAATAGAATTCTGGGATTGAAAATGCTAGAGAATATTGATTTGCTTGCTCTCTTAAGACTCCTAGTGTAACTGAGTGGTTTCCATCCTTGTTTGTACATATCAAGTATATAGGTAGCTTATAGCAAACCTTAAAGTAGCTGTAGGTATCCCACAGTTAGTCCTGAAAAAGCAAAAATAGATGCTTTTAACAAGTCTAGAGAATCTTTTTGGGTTTGTTTTAGTCTTTGGGGTAATATTAAGGAATTAAATTTTCAACTTCCAAAGTGAGAAATATTATCTACATCACATCTATGAGATGAGATCACTTTTCGAATTACATTAACTTTAATGAATGTCAGTTGAATTCCTAATAATGGGAATCCCAGAAAATTTGTGAGACTGTTGGTGTTTGGTACCTGGAAATTCAAATTCTGTGTGGGCTTCTGTGTAACTTGTTATGTATGCATTAATTTCTTCTATGCACTTTTCTACTTCTGGTTTTTATCTTATAATTTATTTTTATTTATCTGGACTATCTATTGATTTGTTAGTACATATTTTGCTTACCTATGTTAACCGTGTTAAATTGGCAGTTAAAAACCATGGTTTAGCTAATAGCATAAGTGTACGTTTAGGACTCTTGGAACAACATTTGAGGAAGGGTGAATTAACATTTCTTAAACAAACAAAACAAATATAAACATCTACAAACAATCCCTACATAATAAGTGCGATATCTTCTTGACTACCTTTCTATTTACAATAGTAGATGGCATACTGAACATTTATGTTTATATGATTTTATCCAAAATGTACATTGGGTGAAGGTGATATTTACACTATCTGTATCATTCTTAATACCTTTCCTTTTTTTGCCTGGAAATCTTATTACACCCTTCAAAAACTATTGCAAAAGTAAATCATAACCAAAATGGAAATGTTTTTGTCCTTAATTTAATCTGAATTATGTTTATGTATGTAAGTTGGTTCTTTAGAGACTATTTTATCCTGCAAAAAACAGAAACATTGAACTATCCATTAAATTCAGTAAATTTCATCAGGAACTCTAAAAGCTGTTGCACACCAAGTACTTGAGTACCAGGGTTTCATGCAATTCTATGGGTGTTGTTTTCTCTGGAATTTAGTGTGATGGTAAATTATTGTGGTTCATCTTTTAGAGGCTGTTTTAAACACAGATTAGAAATGAAGCACTGTTGAAAGCTTTGGAGTTCTGGCACATTATATGAACTCTTTTGCCACAATGTCATACTTTCCAAGTTCTTCTAATCTTTCAAACAGAATGCCTAAAAGTCCTCATTCCCAATTCTGCATCTTTGCTGTCATCAGAAAATGGTAATTACTGCCTTTACTTAACAATTTCCCAGGAGGTGGACCAAGGAAAGTTATACAATGTCCTTTGTGATTTACAATAGTCTATAGATGTATCTTAGGGACCTTAAGATAACTGTATACTTTTGTTATTTTTCAGCCTGCTTTGAGTAGATCAAGTTCTTTGGGTGACTTTTCCTGGTCTCAAAGGTAAAAAGATTCACTTTATTTTTTGTCTTTTGACCAAGAAAGACTGGGGCATAGCTCTCTAGACTGTTGGTAATATACATATACACTATACTTTATAAACTGTGATAAATATATTAAAAATTTAAAAGTGCATTATAGTAAAAGATACGTTATCATTAATTCTCCTCAGAATGCTCTAGATCATTTCCAACCCATTTATCCCATTACTGTGTCACTTCCTGGAACAGCTCTGTAAGTCCTCTTTTGTGAGTGTCTTTGGTTGTGCTGGCGTGGCTGCCCCAGTGTGCTGAACCTCTTCAAAATTTCCACCTTGCATGGACATTTTGTCTTTGAGAAGAGCTAGAATTAGCGTGCTCGATCTGGTGAACAAAGGTGGATGAAGACACACTGCAGTGTTTTTATGAGCCTGCCTTTTCTTGGATGGCAGTTGGAAGCAGCGTTTACTATATTTTTTAAAATCACGTATCATAAAGACTCTTATGAAAGAAGCTTTCAGAAATGCTTCAGAAAGTGGGAAATATGATAGAATAAGTGGATTGGAAGCAAGAGAGAATATCTTGAGAGGGATTTATGGCATTATGTCTTTTATTGTAAAAAAATTTTAAAAATTTAAATATTCACTGTATATTCCAGTTACTCTTTATACATGAATATCATATTTTTAATTGTGATAGTTATTTTTAGTGATAAGAACATATCAAATGTGATACTTTGTGCTTCATGCAGTTAAAAACTTTTTTTTTTCCATTACAGAAAACTTGTAACTGTGGAAAAGCCGGACAATGGAACATTTGGATTTGAAATTCAGGTTGGCGGTTTTCAAGTCTCCCAGACTTCCAAGGAAAATAGTTGGAATACTTAAAGAATGATGAAATTAGGATTAGAGAATGATTAGGATTAGAGAAGGATTAGAAACCATGGACTTCATTCAGTGTATGGCTTTTGGGGTTGTTTTCCACAAGATTGAGTACTGTCAAGGAAAGAAAACAGTGATGCTGATAAAATATAGCCCCAGGAAAAATCTCAGCATCTTGTGCTGACTCGCCTTGGTCTTTAAACACAAATTAATCAGAACTGCTTGATTTCAACTGGGTCTTAATTATGAGAGTGAAATAGTTTTTATAGATATGTGTTTTACATGCTTGTATTTTGGATGTGCCTGGTACAATTACATTATTGTGCTATATGCCAGGTTCTAAATCTTTAGTACTTTAGGAATATTTAAAAGTATGCATGGAATGCATATGTTTGTATATAGATACAGTCACTTTTGATACAGAAGAGTTGCTATTAATATAATGAGTGGTACATTTACTTCTAATGACATTATATTTTATAATTATTTGAAACACTTAGAAGTTTAGATCTACTTGAACACTGTTAACAATGTATGAAATTTGTAACAGTCCTTATGGGCATCAATGTAAGCCTCCAAGAATTTCATTTTTTATTAACTGTTTGCTTTTTAATGAACTTATTTGTAAAGATGGTGAATTAGGTCAAATGAAATCTAATCTAATTAGAATGTAAAGTAATCCTTTAAATATTACTTTTTTCCATAACACTTATGCATTCCTTTTAGATGTGTTTTGCATAATCATATTCTTATACTACATTTCAGATTTTAGATCTTAGTTTTTGTGCTGCTTGCAGAAAACTTTGGTGTGATATCAGCCCCACAATTGGAAACTCAGTGTATATTTTAAGATCAAGAACAGGAAGCTGCTAAGTAAAACATATTTTTTGGGTAAAGAAAAAAAATGATATGAACCAGGAAGTTATAGGGGAATAGAAGATAAACTCTCCTTTTTGAACCCTACTGCTTTCAAATTGAGTGAAATTTATGATTTGCCACAATAATTGGTAAACTATCAAATTATAGAAGTTTAGTGCTACCCGTGGTTCACATCAGATGCTATCTTGTTATAGATGCATTGTGTGTTTTAGATGGCTTATTTTTAAATGGGAATAGTTCTCATAAATATGCAGCAGTTGCTACTGGAAACAGGATAAATACAACAAAGCCACAGAACATTGAACATTTACAGATTAACGTGGGCTAATGGCTTCATAGCTTGTATACATTATTTCAGTGAAACAGGAAGTCAACCAATAGGGTGAATATTTTGGGGGATTTTTAACAGACCAGATAGGACTTCATGTACGTATATTGTTTGTCACGTGTGAAAACATGTTTATGTCCTAGTCTACGAGGTGAGTGACATGTTAGAAGAGACCAGATCCACTCTGCTCTCTGCTTCTCCATGGGTGCTAGTTTTACACTGCTTATGAAAAGCCTACACTAAATATTGCTTTCTGTAATTTTGAGGCTTTTGTCTTTCCCTATCTCTAATCCCAAATTTACAACTACTCTGAATCTATGCAGGTGCCTGTTATATAAGTCAGTATCCTTCTTCTGCACTGTCCTCTCTTTGATGTTCTCCGTTCATTCTACCACAGGGTAGATCCTCAACACTAATGAGAACTGCAAGAGTAGTGTTTTCCAGAGAGGGCCAGTTATAGATTTAGTTCATGAACTCTATAAACTAGACCATCCTTCATCTCTAGAATGATCTTGGCTGCTGAGACCTCTGGCAGGCTGTTGAATGACTCTGATGTACATGAACAATATATTATATTATCTTTGAAAGTTGTTCTGTCTTTAAGATATGGGACTCCACTTGCCTTGTAGATTGAGCATAAATCCCTTACATTGACACACCCAGGATTTTATAAATTACCTGCCCGTGACTGATTCAGCATTGCTAGAATGAAAAGGAATGACCAGCAGATACTAATATCTGCACCAGAAAACAGCAATGTAACTTAATTTTAGGAATCAGACGTTTTAAAAATTCCTCAGAGTACCAATCTTTATTCTAAATGAAACTAGGTCTCATTAAAATACATTAAAAAGAAAAGTGTGTTTGTTTGGGGTTACCGGGATACTGTATAGAGTGAACAATTTGAAAAACAAAAACCTGCAACCACTAAACTACTTGTGCCAAACTAAGGTTGCGGATTTAGTTGGTGACTGATGTACAAGTGGAGAATTTGGGGCAGGCACAGTGGAGAGCTCAGAAATGAAAGTGACTGAGTCAATTATAGTACTTTTGAATAAATGCATAACAGATTATCACTGCTTGCAGAACTGCTTTAAAATAATCATTGTTGGCATATCTCCTTTGCTGGGTATGTACCATTTCTCCCTCTCCTGTAATGAGTGTTTTAGCTTGCAGGAATCATGTAAAGCTTTTTTCCCTTGCTTTTGGCCAGCACTGTTTTATGCCAAGGGGAAATAAGAAATTTAATTTTTTTTTACTCTGTAAAATGATAACACCAGGTGATCTCCTAGACTTGAAAACAGAAAACATCTTGAGCCACTCTCATCCTATTTTTTTCATGCCAGATGATTTTTTATGAATGGAGTTGGCTGAAAACTAATTGAATTGGAAAACTGGCACCTGTGATACAATGTGTAGTCAGGAAGGACTTTCCAAATTGTCCTTTGCCCTCAATTATTAAACTGCTTAATGATAATCGACACAATTTTATGTTTTGACAAATATATTCTGAGTGTTGTTGAATAGTGATTCTGCATTCCTTTACATTTCATAGACATACAGGCTCCAGAACCAGAACTCTTGCTCCTTGGAAATGTGCACTTTGATCTGCAAAATACAGGAGGACAGTCCAGCTCACTATGCTGGCCTGCAAGCCGGTAACTACCTTTGTTCATGTTAAGGGCCATTTACATAGCAAGGAAGGAAAACTGGATGATAGTGAGGGTTGGGACACGATTGTTGTTTTGGATTTTGTTGAATGTTTCTAGGGTTTGGAGCTTGCTTGTTTCATTTGTGAGTCAGGAAACCAACCTACATAAACACGCATTTTAAACTAATATAATACCCATTTTTAACCAGTGTAACACTTATTTTTTCTTGGCGTTGCCCAGGTGATGTCCTTGCAAATATCAATGGAGTGAGCACAGAAGGCTTTTCCCACAAGCAAATGGTTGACCTGATCAGAGCATCCGGAAACCTGCTAAGGTAGCTATCCAGTTAGTCTTGCAGGACTCAGAGTGCTGTTGTCTCTCTGCCTGCTGAATGGACGAAAGGCTTTCTGTTCAGGGATTACCAAGGGCAGCAGTACTCAAGCTTTGGGGCTGGGCACAAACATTTGTATCACTCCTTTTGTTTTTTAAGGTTTTGTCAGACTTGAACATATTGCTAATATTGAAATTAAATGGGATCAATAGCCACAAGATCTTTCTGGGAGGGGCAGAATTTACAAATGTATTTTTTAATGTTAAATTCTGTTTAACTGCCACACATTCTTTTTGGACTGAGAAAGACTGGTTCAATTTCCAGGGTTGATATAATTTTGCTGCTAAAACAAATGGAAGTTCACAGAACTGAGTTTTTTTCCTTTGTTTTCTCTGTTGTTCCATTTTTAAGAAACAAAGTTACTCTAAGACACATATACTCACATGCACCAATATGCCAAACATAGTAAGATACTGGTCCCTTCAACTAGAGATCTGATAGACTTTTCCACATGGTCTTTTTTTTCAATTTTTGCTGTTTTATTAATACATATTTGTGGTTCTTAATGACTACATTCCTTGTACATAACATGTCTTAATTCTTTTTTCACCCCTTCCCTACCTTTCCCCCTTCCCTCTATCTCTTGGTCCCTTTTCCTCTTGCAAAATATTGTGTCTCAATGAGACAGATTGACAGGGAAACCCACTGTTTCTCAGAGAATCAAAACTGCCTTAAAAATAAAGTAGACAGCTTTTGACTAGCTACCAGAACATTCCTAAAATCCAACAAAACCTTTATAAGTAATGAAAAATGGAATGTTCTCGTTCATTAAAATGGTATTTTTTTGAGCAAATACTATTTGAGTTCTGTGATAGATTCAGGAAAGGCAAAAGTGAAGATTCTTCTTAGTGTTACAATAACTAGAAAGAGATGACTAGGAAAAGCCTGAGAAGTAAGGAATTTTAATATCTCAGCTATTGATAATGCCATGATGAAAGTATACTAAGGGTATGAGGAACATTGAGGAAGAGGGTCACTGGTTTAGCTCAGATATTTAAAGTGTTCTCTGAAGAAAAGAAGTTGGAGGTGAGACAAATAAGTGAAGAGATGATTGTCAGAACCTCTACCAGAGCTTTTAAGGTAAAGAGAGAGGTCTCAGGACTCTCAAAATGAGTTTAGCACAATCAAGGCACAGAGGGAAATCCATTGTAATTGGTAGCTAGTAGAAAAGAGAATATAATAAGAAATGAAGACAGAGAGTTGGCCTGGGAGCAGATAATATGTTCATCAGTTACACCATGAGTTTAGGTATTTTACTGATTGAGATGGGTCTTATATTATTCATTCCTCACAGCAACTTTGTGGAGTTAGGTTCATTCCTATTTATAGATGAAGTGCCTGAAGCTTAAAGAAGGCTTAGTTAAGGTCACCCAAATAGTGAGTGGGAGGTCTGGATCTGATCACCTGCTCTTGATTCCAGAAAGTTTCTCATTTGTAACTGCTCATGGCATGCTGCCAAGAGCTGCATGCTCTTCAGTGATACTTTAAAGTATATTTTGAGTGCATAGGTGAGTTGTTTTCAAAGAAGACTGGTGGAAGAATGAGTCCAACTTGGTGGGTCCTATGGGTTCAAGGGATAGGAACACTCTTGTTCTAAAACAAACAACAAACAAACCCTAGATCCAGAAAGAACTATATAGAGTCCAACAGTAATGCTAAAGGTAATGCTAGAGGGTAGAGTCAGAAAGACATATTCCACAGGGTGAATACTGTTGCTGGACAGGCAGGATCAACATGAAGAGTTTCAGTGACTGATTGGGATCTGCTCTGTTGCTCAGAGAGTTAATCTGTGTAAATGAGAAAGCAGACCAAATTTTGTCTTGCTTTCATCTCATTATCTCAGATATGATGTTCCTAGAAATAGATAGAAAATTATTCTTCATATTTAGTGCATTTACCATACCTTGAAGGAGTCTGAGGCAATCTTTAAAAAAATACCTCATTGTGATTCACAACTGAAATATGCTATTATATTCGTATTGATACTCTAGTGATCAGAATAAAGGTCTTTAACCTGAGCTCATAAAAATAAATTGCTCAGGATACAAGTCTTACGTTTTTAGAAAAACATTTTTGGAGAAATAAGAGGACACTACTCAGTTGATAATTCTAGGGTTGAAGTTTGCGGTCTAAAGGTTTTGAGAAGAGTCATAGAAAGTTATTAATTTACAGTTGCTCTGGTTTTGTTTGTTGTTTTCTAAAATTATAGGACAATTTAAAGAGATAAAGCATCTCAGAAACCTAGAGAGAAAAGAATTTTTTCTCTGTTTTAAGAAATAGTGTTGAGTTCACTGTTACGGAAGTTCCTCATGCCCAATGTTGTTCTTGTTGTGTGCTTTGTAAGTACCATGGAGTCTAATGTCTGACAGATACTAGAGGTCCAATAAATATTCACCAAATGAATGAGAAATCCACTCTGTCCCCACAAGAATAGTGTAGTACAAAGAAACCATTGTTACCATACCTAGTGTCTTCTACAAACTGAGCTACAGCTTACAGATTAACTGGAATTTTTTCCTTCTCTTTTTCAGGAGAGTTTTGTTTCATTTTTTTTTCCTCTGAACATTGTCATATTTGGCTTTAACCCACATATTTGAAGTCCTATGAAGGGTATAACAATTATGTTGCATTTTTAAGATGCTTTGTGCTTCAAGTGTAGTACTACAGAAGGCTGGTACTTGTTTAAATGAATCACTCGTTATTTATCCCTCACCATTTTTATTCCCTTTAATCAGGATAGAGACTCTTAATGGAACAATGATTCTCAGGAGAGCAGAGCTCGAGGCAAAGATGCAGGATTTAAAGGTAATTCAATTTTTTACAACGAGGCCCATTTTTCATCCTTGAATGTGTGAGTAGCAGAATAAAGATCTATGTAAAGAATTGAGATAGTCCTTGAAGAGGAAATATGATGAATCTAAAGTGCGTAATTATCAAGAGTCACACACTTACCTTTGTAGGAATATCAAATTCTGCAAACAGGTACAAATCACTTTCTTCCTTCCTCCTTCAGTGTGTCTAGGAGGCTCAAAGAGGCAATAGGAAGGAGCACCACTTGAAGAACTTGTCACGAATGCACCTGTGATCACCCTTGATTAATATTTTATCAAGGGCAAAAAGCAAGAGAGGAGGAGCTGGTGTTTTATCATCTTTCCGAACTGTCGCATCAGTGTGCAGGGACAGCTGACATTTTTACTTTCTTACTGTCTTTCGTGTGTGTCTTATACACCCACTCTATTCCTATGGCCATCCTTGAATCTGTTTTCTTTGGCAAGCACGTTATCAACTCTGAAGGGCAAATTTCCAAGAGACAGCTCACAATGCAGAATATTCAGTGAAAATTCCTAGGAGTGACTCTAGGAAGATCTTAAAAAGTCTCAACTTCCTAGACTGCTGAGAGTCTCTCAAGTCATGAAGTCCAGAACCTCATTTGTGCATCTAAGTTGTAGCCCTGTAGCTCTCTTCCCGGATCCAGGTGAGATTGGCATCATAGTGTTTCCTCTACATGGCAACGAGGTGGTTACTTTGAGCAGAGATTGCATGGCTTAGTTCAAGCAGGTTACCTTCTTGGACTTTGTTTAGAAATAGCTGCCATTTATTAATTTTTTTCTCATGAGTATGCACTTATTAATTATTGAGCCCAGGAAGGTTAACTATACACTTTTTTCTTGCATCTTTCTCTTCCCCCATGTTCAATCCTTTAACCAATTCTAATCTCTTCTTCATTAATGTAGTTTTCAAATTCTTACCATTTTGCTTATCCTCATTGAATTTTGAATCAATTTTTAAAAAGTCCTTGAAAAAGAACTTATACCTTGGTAGGAATTCAATTGCTTTTATAAAACAAATGAGTTCAGTTGAAATCTTTATGGCTTCCTTTTATCTTACTTTGAACAGAAGATCTTAGTTGTTTTATTCAGGTCTTTTATATATTTTAAAACATTTTGTAATGCATATTTTCACATGCTGTTAACTTTATTGGCATGTACTCTAATTTTTATTTCTGTAATAAGACATTTTTAAAATTTTTTGACTATTTATTGCTATTGATTTTTCTATAAATTTTTAAATCCTGTAGTCAGGTTCTTCTTCTCTTATTCTAATAATGATTTTATACACTTATTCAGGTTTTCTACTCATGCAACTTGTCATCTACAGATAAAAATTTTGACCCCTAGTTCAACTATTCTAATAATTTATTTTTCTTCGCTTATAGCATTGGCTAGGATTGTTGGCACATTGTAAAGAGTGGTAGTTTTATTCTTGACTTTAAAGGGACTGCTTCTACATTTTGTCATTACATTTTTGCAAGGATTTCAGATGTACTCCATATAATATTCAGGTTTTAAAAACTGTCAGAATCATTTTTTGGAAAAACATAGTTTTGATGAACATCTTTTAAAATTCTTAAACTAACTTTCAGCTTTTTGTTAAGAAAGAAAGGAATATAGAAAATAAACTAATGAATTTAAATAAAATAGGTTTATATCTCATGGAATAAAATAAGTACTCACTTGCACAAAACATTATTTCATAGTTCAAAGCCACTGAACATTGCCCAAGATTTTAATATACACACCTACTTTTTCTCTAATAATTGTAAAAAAATTTTCAATATCTTCATCCTCTTCCAGAACATCGAGGTCTTTAATATACTTTAAATATACATTTACAAGCTTCTTTATTATTGCTGACTTTAGAGAATTTGATCAATTTTTTAAAATTACAAAATATGAATTTCATATTTAGATTTCTATTTAGAATGAAAAACTGACAATGAACACATATCCCAACAGCTCCAATTACGTGCTTGTTTCTTGCATTTTACTTCTTATCCCTGGGTTTGCTTTCATTCTTGGCATTTCTTACCATTTTGGGTATATTACCCCTCAAGCTTTTTTGTTTATGAGAAGATTTCTAACTATTATTATTTAAAGCTTCATTTTCTTTTCTTTTAAATGTTATAAACTTTTCCCTTTTCACATTTAAATATTTAATTCATCCAGATTTAATTTTTGGATATATTTTGAGTTATGGGAAATTTTCAGTTTTATTTATATTTTTATATGCTAACCTAATTCTCCCAGTGCCATTTATTTTGGTGTATCTTTTTCTACACAAGTGACCTGCAGTGAAACCTAAGCAAGTTTCATATATACATGAGTTTGCTTATAGGCTCCCTTTATAATTCAGTGGTCAATTTGTATATCACAAACTCAGATTATAACAAATCTTGACATTTATTTGGCCAAATTCTTAGTTCCTTTGATTCTTTAATAATCTGTATGAATTTTAGAGTCAAAGTGTCAAATTTTATACATAAATCTTAGAGATTTGATCGATATATGTATACATATATGTGGAGATTATATGTCTAGATGATAGTACATTTTGTTATTGATTTTTTTACTTCACTTATTTAAAGTCTTGTAATATATTCTGATAAATTTGAATCATGCAGGGCTGAGGTTCTTACTAGTGGTCATACTTTTAAACCGCAATTTAATTCCTTCAGTGATTTATAAGACTAATTGGGGGATTTTTCTGGTTTTGAATAGCTTTAGTGAGTCATGTTTTCTGTTAAAGTTTTCAAATTTTCAAACATGATGCAAGAGATTAACAATAAAATGATGTTATCATATTTTTAATCTTTCTCTTAATATGATTATGTCCTAATTTTTACTTGTAGTACTTCCTTATCTGTGTCTTCTGTATCTTTTCCTTTAGTAAACTTTTCTGGAGAATTATCTATTTTAAAATCTTTTAAAAGCTAGTATTTTCACTTGTGGTGATATTTTATATTTTTCTTTGGCACCCTTTATAGAATTTTTTAAAATCGATTGATAGTTTTACTTCAGTGAAAGTAGGTCCAGATTAATTTATCACTTTACACTATTTAGGATATGCAGAACTCTTTTTACCTAAAAACACCTGACTTTCCTCCGTTTTGGAAAAATACAAGGTCAAATTCTTTGAATAAGCCTCTTTAGCATTCTCTGTGTTATCTTCTGGATTTCCTGTTAGACATGGTCTTGATTTGTATTGCTTAGGAATATCTTCAGTAGCATTCTTGTTATTTGTGTTCTGTATAGCATGTGTTTTGATTCAGTTTTACAAATTAATTTATATTCATTCATGTCTATCTGTTCTTGTTTTTTTTTTTTTGCTTTAAACTTTGCATTCGATGAATACTGATTTTATTCTCTCTGAGACTATAACCATTAATATTTTAATATTTTCTATGGATCCTTTCCTATTTGAGAGAGAATCCATGTGCTGTTCATGAATTTTATTGTTTTTGCTATCCCTCAACATTTATGAGTGTTTAGAGTATAGACTGCCTTTGTCCTTGAGTGGCTCTCTCTTTTCCAGTTCACTGTCAGAGCCGGGTGGTTCTCTCTACACAGCGATTCAAGCCTTGCTACCAGAGATGGGCTTGACAGCTCATGTACTTTCCCTGGAGAGTCAGTGTATGGCTTGTTTGCCTCCGGCAATAAGGATACACTTATGTGCTTTGGTCTCTCTGAATCCCAGCAGATGTCGCTTTCCCAGCTTCCTATTCTTAGTGTGGGAGCTTCAGCCAGGATTGATTTCTCAACCAGGAAACCTGACTCACTCAATCCTCTACTTCAAATAAATGCATTTAAACCTATATTACCACAGAATTCAAATTCCTAAGTACCTCTCTGATTTTATCAGACTAATAGACCTTGAGGTTCATTGCTGCTTACCTCTTGCATTTCTAGGTCACTTCTAATTTTGAAATTATGGAGAGTCCCATTTTATCTTTTCAACTGCATTATCTGAGTCTGACCTGTAACCATTGTCAGACCAGCTTTCCCTCTGTGCACTGACATTTACTTTTTGCTTACTATGGGAACATTCAATTTCCCCAGAGACTTTCTGTAGGACCAAAACCTCTTCTTTAGAAACATTAGTCCCTTCTGAGTCACAGTTGCAGGAGTTCCCTTTTTTCTAACCTATGATTCAAATGTTTAACATGAAAACCACATCTCAAATGGGCTAGGTCAAAAAGCAAGTGTTTAACTCTGATGTTTACTAGGTTTGTAGCCCTTGGGAAATATTTTCTACATTGAAGCTGTATTTTCTATTCCATAACTTTTTAGGAAGATTATAAAAATTAAATAGCATATTATCTATGAAAGTGCAATGAAAATACTAATGTGTTATGTACATGCATATAAAACGTTGAGTTATATGTCTTATCAGGCATACACATGGAAACAATCCAATGTATAATAGTTGAAGGCTGTTCCAGAAAATCATCTCTTGTGTATTCTTTTAAACAATATTCAATCATTATTTCACCTGTTGTGTAGCAAGGCCCAGGGAGGTGATGTGGTCCAACATGGTTTGATCTCACATATGCTTTAATTTTTATGTTTTGGTGACATTTTAAATTTGTCCATATATATGATTATGTTGCCAATAACACAGAAAGAAACAGACTGAAGAAAATAAGGAAACTAACTTAGTGACAAGCTAAAAACTCTAGTCATTTTGATACATCTGCTCTTTCCTCTGGTATTTCCTTGTTGAAATGATGACATACTTAGATGACTGGGCCAGATCAACGAATTAGCTATTTAAAACCTTTATACTCACAAAACTATCTGGCAAGCTTTGACTTCGTATTTTTGAATTTTAAGTGCAGAAGTATTTCTTCCTTTTCTATGTTTAGTTTCTACTGGACTCCATTCTCTGGTAGGAAATAAACCTCTTTAAGAGAGCAGAAAAGGTTTCTGGTTCTGACTTTCACATAACCATGGATTTACAAAGATAACAACAGCAGTGTCTAAAGAAACCTAGAGTCAAGAAATCCAGCAGTCTTAACCATCACAAACTATATCAAGGTTCTGAAAGATTACCTGAGCCACACATTTTATTGTCTTAATGTATTGCTTGCATACTATGTTAGCCATTAGGATGGCTCTTAAATGTTACTACCAAAGATTGAAAAAATTTTGTCCAGCTACTCTTCAATCTTTTACCACTGAGGAATGACTCAGTTTCCCCTTATTCTTTCATTTATATTCTTGTAATTTTGTTAATTTCTTTCTTTCTGGCCTTTCCCTCTCAAGTGTATCTTTTTTTTTTCCTTTTTGGCCTCTTATCTGCTCCTTCCACAAGCAATCCTTCTATAAAAGATTGTTTATTTGCAACTAGCTTGTCTTTACTTTAGGATATGTGTGCATGGCAAATCTGACCTCTGCTTATTTGCTGGGCTTGCTGTAACCACCTGGAATGGCAGAAAAGGGGGTGGAGGAGAGGCCAACTGATGAGAAGGAGAGGTAGCCTGTGACACTGTCTTGTCAGATACATTCTATCTGATTTGCTTTCAATTTCCATTGCTGCTCTGTGGGTGAGGCTTGGCCTCACCTTCTGTGCTGTCTTGACCTTAGGAGAGGTCACTACAGTCTCACCATGGGACACTACTCTCCTGCACTACAGCAATCAAAAATGGAAGCAGTGAAGAGGTGAGGGTGCTTAGCAGTGATCTGCGTCTTTGAGACAAAGTCTGTCTTTTTTCTCTTTCTGGAAAATAAATGTACAGAAAAAAGGATTGTTTTAGTGTTCCAGGGTTTTAGGTGATATTTATTGAGCATTTAGTAAGGTAAGTCACCATTCTAAATATTTTAAACATTTTAATGTGTGGATGTATCATGAAACTATTAGGACTTAGATTCTGTTATCAATGTCATTCCGCATTTGGGAGAAAAGTAGCATGCAGGTCCTTGTCTTAGGCAGCTGGAACAATGATAATGAGCATTGCTATGTTCTGTTAGGCATTCATATGTCTTCTTTCGTTTATATTTTTTAAACAAAAATGTATGCATTTCACAGTTTCTCTTGTATTTTGAAAGAATAGTTGTTTGGTGCTGCTATATTATTTCTTGAGAACATAGTATTGCCAGTATTCTCCTAATGCAGCAAAAGATCTAAATTAACAGGAAGGACTGGTGGTCCTTAACAGAAAGAAGAAATGTTTGAATGATAAATTTCAACATTTAGAGTTAAATTGCTATCTTCTTGGGGGTTTCCTAATAATTAGAACTTTTGTTTTTCTTCTTTCTCACAGCAAACCTTGAAGAAGAAATGGGTGGAGTTCAAGTCTCTGCAGTTACAGGAACAGCGTCTGCTTCATGGTAATATGACTTCCTGCTCAGAAACCACAGGCACATTTCATCTTTTTTTTTTTTTTTTGTATTTCTTTCTCTAAGTTGTTTTAAGACTATTTTTATTGCAAGACAAATTTGTCTAGATCCAGCTAAAGATACCAGTCTGTGTTCCTTTGGCATGAACTCTAGGGTGGGTTTTGCATTTGGAGGAGGGGTAAATCAAGTCACACCCCTCCTCCATACACATAGTATACATGCATGTGAAAACACGAGCGTACACACACATATACTTGGAGGAGGTGTCTGGAGATTTTAGAAGAACAGACCGTTTGCATTCCATTCCACTTTAGCAAATGAATTAAATTCCTAAAGTGACCATAGCTAGGGGATGTGAGCTCCCTCAAAGCTGTTCAATGTGGGAAAAATTACATACTTCTTAAGGAGAAATCTTATCTATTACATTTATGGAGAGGATTCCTTTTTCATAGGTCTCAAGACCAAGTCAGTCATGTATAAGATATAACAGGAAATGCATAGCTCTTTGTACTGTGTGCATCTTGAGGGAAGGGCTGAGTTTAAAGTTTGCTGCTTTGCTATTAGTTGTGTGACTGATACAAATTAAGGAATGAACTTCTGTGTGCAAAGAATCGACTAAAATCACTTGCTAATGTGGAGGTGAAATTTAGATGCATCTTCTTTAGGTAGGTGTTCAAATGTCTATAACTTAGAGTATCTGTTAAATCAATTTATTTGCAGTAAAGATATACATTTTTATTTTAACAGGCATATCAAACTAGTAAAATTGCACATAAAACATAGACTGATGTTTTGATACAAGTATACATTTTAATGTTTGAATCAGGTTAAATATCTATCCTCTCAAACGCTTCTCTCTTTTCTTCTCTCTGTCCTTTCTCCATCTCTCTCTCCCTCTCTCACTTTTGTCTTCCAGCTTGTGGAAATACACTACATCATTGTTACTTGTAATTACTGTACTGACCAATAAAGCAGCCCAGAACTTCTTGCTCCTGCCTACCTGTAACATGGTATCCACCGAGACCCCTTTTCTGTACCCCCTTCCTCTTATTGTCCCCAGCCTCTGGTCTTCATCGCTCTCCTTTCAGCTTGTGTGAGATCAAGGGTTTTAGATTCCACATATAGATGGAATGATGCGGTACTTGTCTTTCTGTACCTGACTTATTTCACTTAGCATAATGATCTCTGGTTTTGTCTATACTGTTCCAAATGATAGAATTTCATTCTTTTAAATGACTGAGTAATATTCTGTAATATATTTATACTACATTTTCTTTATCCCTTCATCAGTTGATGCACATTTAGACTATTTCCCTTTTTGGCTAATGTGAACAGTGCTATAATTAACATAGGAGTGCAGGTGTCTTTTGAAAAGACTGAGTTCATTTCCTTTGGATGTATAACCTCTAGTGGGATTAGTGAATCATACGGTAGTTTCATTTTTAATTTTTTGAGAAAAATTTATATGTTCTTCATAGTGTCTGTACTAATTTACATTTCTACCAACAATGTGCTAGGATCACTTTTTCTCATCCTCACCAGCTCTTATTAACTTTTGTCTGTTTGATATGAGCCATTCTTTTACTGGAGTGAAGTGATATCTCATTATGGTTTTAATTTGTATTTCCTTGATGATTAATGATGATAAGTATTTTTATGTACCTGTTGACCATTCATATGTGTTTTTTTTTTTTTTTTTGAGAAGTGACTACTTAGGTCTATTATTTATTTTGAATTGGGTTGTGTATTTTTTTTTTTTTTTTGCTGTTGAGTTTTTGGCATTTCTTATACATTCTAAAAAGATACAATTTACTGTTTCATTAGACACTACTTTATAGCCTAAATATTTGCATTAAAATCTTTTTAAAAGATTTGTTTGAAGCAAAGATTCGAGATTGATTTTCTGGGTGTCTGGAGTTGGTTATAGACACAAGGATTGGAGACCTTTTTTTTTGTTGTTAGTTCAGCCACGTACCGGCTTCCCTAGGTGCAGGAGTGGCTCTGAAATCTTTGTCTCCATTTCTGCGCTGTCTTGAATGGTGCAGTGAGTGCAGGCAGCTCTCGGTTTCTTCAAAAATGGCCTCATACAGACACAATCCTAGTGTGAGGATTTTCATAAGGTCATTGTTTCACACTCTTTTGAGGAATTGAGGGAGCTATTAGTTTGCATTTTCTGGAACTAGATTAATCACCCATGAGATTCTACAAGGCAATTGCTCTCTAACCAAAGGAAAGTTACCAGCTTATGATAACATGAAATAAACTAGGTTATATTACCCAAAAATAAAACACAGTGTCTAGTCCTTGAAGGGCTAAGTTCTACTCTGTAGATCAACTGGAAAAATGAACAGTGTGTTTTTATAATGTTAACCCAGGACAAAGGAAAACAAAAGTAAAGATAATCATCACACAACGAAAACATTTTTCAGTGCTTTGTATTCTTTTACTTTTCTTGAAGCAGATTTATATTTTCATCCTAATTTTCTAAGCTCAGTATTACAAATGCACTTCTTTGTTTTAGCAACATATCAGCCAACTGAGATAGGGTTTAAGTAAGTGGTATTATAGGCAGGAAGTTGATAAATGATTAACAGTTGGATGTGGAGAGCTCAGATGTAGGTCATGAAGGTTTGAAAAAAAAAGTTATCTAAGTGCGCAGAAGCAAATTACGTCAAATAGATTATCATATATTTTAGGGCAAAGATGTTTTCTAAGTATAGTACCATTATAAAGAATTTAAGTATTCCAATATAAAACTTGGGATATTGAGGCTGGAAGATATATTTGAGTCCATAAATTCTTTCTGTTATAAATACCTTTCAATTCTCTGATAAGTGTGTTTGCCACACACTTCAAATGACTTCATGCAATTTTACAATTAAAAAATGTTCATAACTAAAAATAAGAGGGATTAAATGGGTACAGTCATTGAGACATTTCCCTAAGCATTTGTTTTAAAATTTCTGTGAAAATTTTACCAAACTGTTGCAGGATCACTTACAATTAAGAAATGATAATTTGGAGAGTGACAAGCCACACTGGCATACTGTGAGCTGGACTGAACTATTCTGTTAGTTTTCTGTCACTGTAACCTGAGATAAATCAACCTACAAAGAGAAAAGCGTTACTGCTCCACAGTTTTGAAAGTTCAGTCCATGATGGATTCATCTCATTGCTTTGGGCCGGTGATGACACACCATGTTAGGAAGATGTGGCAGAACAAAATTGCTCTCTTTATGACTAGGAGGCAAAAGAGAAAAAGAAGAGTCCAGATTCCACAATCCAATTTGAGAGTATCTCTTCCTTATGACCTAAAAGCTCGTAGGAGGTTCTACCTCTTAAAACTTCTAACTTAAAGCTTTCATTTCCCAGTGGTGCCCATTTGGATCTTTGAGGCACATTCCCACATTCCAGATCCAATTGTAACCTGAAGCATCTTGCTTATTCTGCCATATAGTTTTTATAACAATATAGCCTTTCCCTTGACAGCTATTCCATGAACAATAGTTTGGCAAATCCTATTACAGTTTTTCAAACTACCTTAAAAAGTCACTTATTTATACAAGTGAAAACTCAGGGCAGTTTTCTACTTTTTTTTTTTTTAAAGACACATTTTGGTGTGTTCATTTATAGGGACTGATGCTCAGATCCATCCCACAATAGACTTTGTTCTCTGCATTTTAGGTGATGCTGCTAACTGTCTGAGTTTGGAAAACATGGACATGGATGACTTGGCAGCTTTTGGAACCCTGCCTGGGCCAAGCCCAGCCTCTGTGGAATGGAACCGGTTATCCAGTGAGAGCAGCTGCAGGAGCTGGCTGAGCTCCATGACGGTGGACAGTGAAGACGGCTACCAGACCTGTATGTCTGAGGACTCGAGCAGGGGCGTCTTCAGCCGGCAGACCAGCACTGATGACGAGTGCTTTGTCTCTAAGGAGGGGGACGATTGCATAAGGAGATCTTCAAGGAGGAACCGGAGCATCAGCACGACCAGCAGCGGATCCATGTCCCCACTATGGGAGAACAATTACTCAAGCATGTTTGGGACTCTGCCCCGGAAGAGCAGAAAGGGAAGTGTCCGGAAACAACTCTTAAAGTTCATCCCTGGCCTTCACCGTGCTGTGGAAGAAGAAGAGAGTCGCTTTTGATGGCTGGTGATGCCTTTCCAAGTTAGCTTATTTCACAAATGTCTCTAGACTCCCTAGAGCAATTCCACCCAACTTGGTGGGAAAATGCAGATAAGTTGTGAAACTGACAGCCCATTTCACAAGGAAAAGTGACCTTTATTTAAAATTTTACATCATTGCTTCTGCTTCTTAAATCATTTTCAACCACAGCAGCTCAAATTCTAAGCAGACATTAGGGAAGGTAAATAATAAGTTAAATAACATAACCAAAACACGTGCCTGTTCATTTTAAGGCTGCCTGTGAAATTAGGAATGCTTATTTTCTATATTATCCATATGAAAAATGGAGAACCTCTCAGAATCAGATGTCAATAGGGAGTGACAATATAATTATCTGGTCTACTTTCTACAGGTTAATTTGGTACATTACAAACTTTGCCTTAGCTCAGCGTCATTTAGGAAGCTTAATGGTAGGTAATTTTGAGTGTTTCTGTTCAAGTCTTTAAAAAGTTATAAACAAAGAGGACCATCTATCTTTTTCTCAAATATGTAGTGAAAATAAATCAAAAAAGTGTAAGTAATTAAGTTTCATGAGAACTATAAAAAGATAGGATCTGAAAAAATTCTGAGGAGGATTGATAATAAGATCTTTCTTACAGACAGCCTAAAATGGGTGAAATCTCATTCTTTTTAACTTAATTCAATTATTGTTTTGACTGAACATTAATGGCAAAGCAAGAACACTCAAGACCCTATGGCTTTGTGATTATGGAGCTCTAAAAATCCAAAAAGTCAGGGATGGGAGAAGGATTTTTGTCCTGTAGATTTTTTTTTTACAATTCCTCACTGTATATTCCAGATAATTATTACCTTAACACCCATTTATGTATTACTTATAATTGTATTATAGTACTTCCAGCTTTTCGGTCATGCTATATATTCTTCACTATCCATTAAAGCCCATATTTTCTTTGTTCTGGCGATTCAACTGCTCACTTCCGATACCTTGAGATAAACAGTACAGACTATGTTAAATGGTCCTCAGTGATTTGAAATCTGTGTGTGTGTGTGTGTGTGTATGTGTGTTGTGTGTGTGTGTGTGTGTGAGAGAGAGAGAGAGAGAGAGAGAGAGAGAGAGAGAGAGAGAGAGAGAGAGAGATTGGGAGAAATAGAGTCAGGTGATTTTCAGTAGAACTAGTCCACTTAAGTAAAGTTCTGACTAATCTACAGGATGAATCATTTTGAGGAGAAAAAGGTGAGGCAAGGGAGTGTTAAGGGTAAGAAATAAATGATAAACTAGAAAAGTACTTCTAGGTAGGACCTGCTTTCTGTCAGTTCTCTGAACTTACATTCAATGTGCTGTGGATGAAGGTCACATGAAAGGTGATCTGTTGCATCCTCTTCAAGGGTAAGAACAATCCTACCTACTAATCACTGAATGTTTGGTAAACCAAAGAAGGGCATCTACATGTCACTGCAGAACAGTTGCTGTGAGGCATACAGATAAGATAGAAGTTCAGAGATTCCTGTGGTCACGTGACTTCCAGTGGCAAAGGTGACATTGGAAACCTGTTCTTCCTGGACCTCTTAGTTTTTCTATGTATTGCTTACTCTTTTGTTTTATGGTTATCATCACATTAATTTTTATTTCCCAAACAAGGAAACTTAAAAATAAAAATTGTGAACGTTCTATAGGTAAAAATATTGTCCTTTATCAGTAAGAAACCAAACGAACATTTAGGGTTATCATTTTCTTGGTTAACATAAGCAAATTTTCAGAGAGGCACATTAATACTTATGTGGTTTGCAGTACATTTATTTCGCCATACTGTGGAAGAGGAAGAGTTTGCAACCAGTTATGATTCAGCTAATACTGCTTATTTTTCATCATACTTTAGAATTATCATGCTAAAGATCAGCTTGTGCAAATGCAATATTTCCTATAAGTTATGTTTTTCAAATACAAGGCAAAGAAATGTATTTATTTGATGAAAGATGACTAAAGTCTTCACTGAGAAAAATTGCTTGGGAAACTACGATAGTTCATTCGTAAAAGTAGGCCATAGGCCATTTGCTCTTCTTGTGGCTTTAGTACAGAAACATAAGAAACATAGCACTTCTCCATAACAGTAAATGTCAGAGGCAAAATAGGAGTACAGGAAGGACACAGCAAGCATCATTTTAGCCTGTAATAAGAAGTATTAAAGAGTTAGATCTGCGTTCTGGGAAAAACAAAAAGCTGGTTAACCAACGTACAGGAAGGAAGGATATGTCATATTTTGCATTTTCACAAGCTGTTTAGTGGAAATGTGAGTAAATTCTTACAGGTCTTTAATCTGAGTCTGACTCTAATCGGAGTTTTAAAAGAATCTTCTGGTGCACACTGACTCACTTTTAATAATTATTGGGGAAAAATTGAATAGGATGAATTGCTTTTAATTCCAAAGTTGTCACATATATGTTACTGGTGAACTATACTGATTGAAAAATTATCATGAAAGCATGTTTTTATACTACAATGGCATTTTATAAAACAAATTTGAGGCAAGCATACTGGGAAATTATTTTATCATGTGGCCAAAAGAACAATACCATATCAAACAGATATGAAATGCATTTTTTGAAATAAATTTTTATTCGTTATATATTTTGAAAGATTTTTATAGTATAGGTACATGATGAAAATAGCATTAAAATCCCAATTTGAACTAAAGAAAACAAACTTAGGCACACTTTGTATGTATTGGTCATAAAATATAGATATTTACGAATGTATACAATCTAAGTATATCAAATAATACCAAACTATATTAAGAAAACTTTCAGGTCTTGAGTATTCTTATGTTATACAGAACAATGAATTACAAAATCAAAATCTCATGCCTTTGAGAATTAAAAAATACTATTCATTGGTGTTAGAATTATCCTCCTTATCCTTTGTCCCTCTACTTCTTTCCATTAAAGGGAAAGGTTAGTCTTTTTTATTTTTTCAGAAGTTTTCATATTAAAAAACATGAAATGTTTCTGGGATCAATCAATACATATCTCAGAAGTCCTTCCAGCAGTCTCTGTATACAACAGCTTTTCTTGTCTTTGCTCAGTTGATGCTCATTTAAGGATCATTGGAGTTGATTGTAGTTCTTAAAATCAAACTTATTCTGCCAAATCCAAGACCCTGAATTTATTCAGATTGTAGAAACATGCTTTTACCACCCATCCACCAAAATACCTCACATTCAGATCAACAACAGCTTTATTTGCTGATTCCACGTTCTAAAATTCTAAAAATATTCATACTGCTTCATCAGCAGGGGCACCAGGATTTCAAATATCACACATTTCCCAACTTTGCCATATTTTCATATTTTCCCTTGGCTTCAATTTTTATATCTTTCCCTCTCATGCACAAACTGAGTTCCTCAGTAGGACCACTTTAGTAGGACACTTAAGTATTTCAATAAATACAGAATTCATTGAATCTGACTTCTTGCATGTATTCTGGGCTCATCAGATTCTGTATAGCATTATCCATATTGATTCTGCTGCCTGTTTCAAATCTTCTCTATTAGCAATATAGCGCTCAGCCCCTGTTCCTGCTTTCCCAGAACTTGGCCTTCCAAGAGCTTATGTACTACTGTGCCAGCCCTGAGAGCAGGAGAGTAGCCATGCCCTGTTGGAGTCCGTTGTCTACCCTGTTTCTCCCCCACCAGGGAAGGAATAGCAGCTGTCAGAGACTGTGATGAAGGGTTTGAGTCTTCTTCACAAGGAAAATTTCAGAGTAACTTATTTTTCCTTCTTTCCCTTTCTCTACAAGGGAAGTGAGTAGGGGGTGATTTTTCTCCCTTATTCTTTTCCTCCTATTTCTCATCATCAGATTCTAGATCTCTAGACATCTTGAACACCCCCCAGCTTCCTGCCTGCCTTTGGCCTCTTGCCCTTTCTTCTGTTTCCCTTCACTTCATGGGACTGAACAAGGTCTCAGCTGTAGTCACAGAGTTTTCCAGGCTTAATTGGGAAAGACCTACCTTTAAGTTCCTTCAGGTAATTGTTACTGGCCAAGTGATTCCCTACTACTTATTTAAACTCAACAAAGGGAGAAAAGAGCTATAAATAAGACAGAGATTAATATAATCCAATGTCCAGCCAGGGAGTGATGTCCTCATCTTTGTCATACAATACAACTGCTAGAGTGCCTTCCTGTCATTTTTGCCATAGGTAACATAGGTACCTATAGTCATGGCATCCCCTTACCTTTGCTGTATCACAGAACACAATCATAGTAGTAACATCCTATCAAGGGAGCTATATTGTTTGGTAGAAGCAAGTCATAGCTTGCATCCTCCAGAAGTAGGAATTAGACAAAGGCATGAAGATTAGGAGATAGGGAAGGGGCAGGGAGCACTGTAGTTCATTACAACTGAAGCATGTCTCAAACTTGACAATATCTTTTAATATAAAGGTATTGAGCATTTTTAAAACTCTTTTAGAAAAAAGTGGTGAATATTACCATCTTAAGTTTCATGTAAAGAATTTATATATGTCTAAGTAGTACCAATAAAAATAATGGCAGTGGAAGACAGCAAAAGCAACAATGGAGTGAGAGAGAGAGGGAGAGACAGAGACAGAGACAGAGACAGACAGAGAGATGGAGAGACAGAGAGAATCTTTCTGTCCCTTATAGTACATGCAAGCTACCCACCTTTGGGTAAGTGTACCACACATTCAAACCAAGCACTGGTCCATGAATCAATGACAGACTATAGAAGCTTGCCCCAGTAACTGCACGAAGATTTGGAGGGACATCTAAATGCAAACCATAGCATTCAGCCCCAGGTCCCCTAAAGACTCATGTACATACCTTTATGCAAAAGGCATTTATTTAGCCCGTCTCCAAGAGTTGCCAAAGTCCTAACAGTTTCAGCATTGCTGAAAAGTCCAACTCTCATGTCTCTTCTGAGATCTAAGCCAAACTCTTAGTGGTGAGCCCCTGCAAAAATGAAAGTTAAACACCTCCAGTATTCAGTGGCACAAGATAGAAATTTCCATTCCAAGAGTTACAAACAAGATAATATAAAGGAATGGGACCAAACAAGACCAAAATCCAGCAGGGCAAACATTAAACCCTATATTTCTATGTAGAGCATCTGAAGCAATCTGTGTTAAGATGTGGACTCCAAAGGCCTTAGATGGCTACACCCCTAGCACTTCTGGTGGTTGTAGCTCCCATGGCTTCTTTCTTGGGCTTGTTCTGCTCCCTCATTTCAATTTTCCTCAGACAATTCATGTTTCTGGCTTCTTCAAACTTCTGGGGTTTCCACTTCTGGCTTCAAACTTACAGTTTTATGCACTGTCCTCTCATATTCACATTGCCCGGCCTCTCTGGTCTTCTGAAATCTGGATGGAAGCATTCTTGACTCCACAACTCTTCCATTCCACATGCCCCTCATGGTTGTTGCATGGGACCTGAGTCTGTGGGAAGTGTTGTGGAGTCATGGTGGGAATAAATCATACCAGAGACCAGGCTAATGGCACCAATCCAACTTTTAATATGTCTCCTGCACTCTTATATAGGCAGGGCTGAGATTCATATGGGGGCAGAGCCTAGATGGTGTCCCGGAAGGTTGAGGGTAGCTCCTGGGGTGGGGGGCAGGAGCAGGACAGTGTCTGGCAGGGGGACTGACTTGGTCTGCCGAGGACATTCCAAGGTCCGAGTCTGCTCAGACCCTCTCCTCTGCCAGAGCCGTCAACCAGTCCTCCAGACCTTAACTCCCCATACCTCATGCTGGCAACACATAGGTGATGCCAAGGTGTGTTGCCAGCTTGAACAGGATTCCCTCTTTTTTGGCAGTAGGAGTGGAATGCCTGGATTGGTGAACACTCTGAATCCAATTCTGAGGAAAAAATTCTTTATGCTACCACCATTCTGGAGCATGGTATGGTGGGGCTTTTGCCTCAAAGCAAAGTCTTTTACAATTT